GGCCTCTCCATTCTTCCTCCATACTTGGGGTCCTTGGGCCTCTCCATTCTTCCTCCATACTCGGGGTCCTTGGGCCTCTCCATTCTTCCTCCATACTCGGGTTCCTTGGTTTCCAAATGAGATGAAAAATTTGCTCTCATCAGAAAAGAGGACTTTGGACCACTGAGCAACAGACCAGGTCTGTTTTTCTTTAGCCCAGGTAAGACGCTTCTGACGTTGTTTGTTGTTCAGGAACGGCTTGACAAGAGGAATAGGACATTTGAAGCCCATGTCCAGGATCCGTCTGTGTGTGGTGGTTCTTGATGCACTGACTCCAGTCTCAGTCCACTCCTTGTGAAAGTCCCCAACACTTTTGATTGGCCTTTTCCTGACAATCCTCTCCAGGCTGCGGTCATCCCTGCTGCTTGTGCACCTTTTTCTTCCACACTTTTCCCTTCCACATAACTTTCTATTAATGTGCTTTGATGCAGCATTTTGGGAACATCCAACTTCTTTTGCAATTACCTTTGAGGCTTTCCCTCCTTATGGAAGGTGTCAATGATGGTGTCAGGTCAGCAGTCTTTCCCCTGATTGTGATTCCTTCTGAACCAGACTGAGAGACCATCTAAAGGCTCAGGAACCCTTTGCAGGTGTTATGGCTGAATGAGCTGATTAGAGTGGGACACTTTGAGCTGAGAATATTCCACCTTTTCACAATATTCTCATTTTCTGTGATTGTGGATTTGGGGTTTTCATGAGCTGTAAGCCATAATCATCACAATGAGGACAAATCACGGCTTGAACTATCTTGCTTTGCATGTAATGAGTCTATCTCACATATTAGTTTCACCTTTTAAGTTGCAGCACTGAAATAAATGAACTTTTACATGATATTCTAATTTTTCAAGTTTTACCTGTACAGTGGGGATCGAAAGTTTGGGCACCCCAGCTAAAAATTTGTATTAATGTGCATAAAGAAGCCAAGGAAAGATGGAAAAATCTCCAAAAGGCATCAAATTGCAGATTAGACATTCTTATATGTCAACAAAAGTTAGATTTTATTTCCATCATTTACACTTTCAAAATAACAGAAAACAAAAAAATGGCGTCTGCAAAAGTTTGGGCACCCTGCAGAGTTAATATCTTGTACTGCCCCCTTTGGCAAGTATCACAGCTTGTAAACGCTTTTTGTAGCCAGCCAAGAGTCTTTCAATTCTTGTTTGAGGTATCTTTGCCCATTCTTCCTTACAAAAGTCTTCCAGTTCTTTGAGATTTCTGGGCTGTCTGTCACGCACTGCTCTTTTAAGGTCTATCCATAGATTTTCAATTATGTTGAGGTCAGGAGATTGTGAAGGCCATGGCAAAACCTTCAGTTTATGCCTCTTAATGTAATCCCCCGTGGATTTCGAGTGTGTGTTTAGGATCATTATCCATTTGTAGAAGCCATCCTCTCTTTAACTTCAGCTTTTTCACAGATGGCATCAAGTTACCATCCAAAATTTGCTGAAATTTTATTGAATCCATTTTTCCTTCTACTCGTGAGATATTCCCTGTGCCACTGGCTGCAACACAACCCCAAAGCATGATTGATCCAACCCCATGCTTAACAGTTGGACAGAGGTTCTTTTCATTAAATTCTGTGCCCCTTCTTCACCAAACGTACCTTTGCTCATTCCGGCCAAAAAGTTCAATTTTAACCTCATCGGTCCACAGAACTTGTTTCCAAAATGCATCAGGCTTGTCTATATGTTCATTTGCAATGTTCAAACGATGATTTTTGTGGTGAGGACGTAGAAGAGGTTTTCTTCTGATAACTCTTCCATGAAGACCATATTTGTACAAGTATCTCTTTATGGTGGAACAGTGTACCACAACACCAGTGTCTGCCAGATCTTTCTGGAGGGATCGTGCAGTCAAACGTGGGTTTTGAATTGTTTTTCTCACAATCCTGCGAGCTGTTCTGTCTGATATTTTTCTTGGTCTTCCAGATCTTGCTTTAACTTCCACTGTTCCTGATGACTGCCATTTATTTATTACATTCCGAACAGAGGATATTGACATCTGAAAACGCTTTGCTATCTTCTTATAGCCTTCTCCAGCTTTGTGAGCGTCAACTATTTTCAGTTTCAGTTTTCTAGACAACTGCTTAGAAGAACCCATGGTGCTGATTGTTGGGGCAGGGTCAGATGAGTCTGGGCATTTAAAACCTTTGAGATTGACATCACCTGGTCTTCCCAGACGATGACTGAGAACAATCCATGACACTGGCAGGTCTCAGTTTTGCAAAGGGGGCAGTGCATGCTATAAATTCTGCAGGGTGCCCAAACTTTTGCAGACACCATTTTTTTGTTTTCTGTTATTTTGAAAGTGTAAATGATGGAAATAAAATCTAACTTTTGTTGACATATTATAAGAATGTCTTATCTGTAATTTGATGCCTTTTGGAGATTTTTCCATCTTTCCTTGGCTTCTTTATGCACATTAATACACATTTTTAGCTGAGGTGCCCAAACCTTCGATCCCCACTGTATATCTACATACAGTGGGGCAAAAAAGTATTTAGTCAGCCTCCAATTGTGCAAGTTCTCCCACTTAAAAAGATGAGAGAGGCCTGTAATTGGCATCATAGGTAGACCTCAACTATGAGAGACAAATGAGAAAAAAAATCCAGACAATCACATTGGCTGATTTGGAAAGAATTTATTTGCAAATTATGGTGGAAAATAAGTATTTGGTCACCTACAAACAAGCAAGATTTCTGGCTCTCACAGACCTGTACCTTCTTTTTTAAGAGGCTCCTCTAACAGTTGAGCGTGGAATATTTAGCCAGGAAATGTCATGGATGGACTTATTGCACAGGTGGCCACCTATCACGGGACCACGCTTGGAGTCACTGAGCTCCTGAGAGCGACCCATTCTTTCACCAATGTTTGTAGAAGCAGTCTGCATGCCACTCATTACTTGTATCAATGGCACCTGTTTGAACTTGTTATCAGTATAAAAGACACCTGTCCACAACCTCAAACAGTCACACTCCAAAACTCCAAACTCTACTAGAGCTGTCGAAGGACACCAGAAACAAAATTGTAGACCTGCACCAGGCTGGGAAGACTGAATCTGCAATAGGCAAGCAGCTTGGTGTGAACAAATCAACTGTGGGAGCCATAATTAGAAAATGGAAGACATACAAGACCACTGATAATCTCCCTCGATCTGGGGCTCCACGCAAGATCTCACCCCGTGGGGTCAAAATGATCACAAGAACGGTGAGCAAAAATCCCAGGACCACACGGGGGGACCTAGTGAATGACCTGCAGAGAGCTGGGACCAACGTAACAAAGGCTACCATCAGTAACACACTACACCGCCAGGGACTCAGATCCTGCAGTGCCAGACGTGTCCCCCTGCTTAAGCCAGTACATGTCCGGGCCCATCTGAAGTTTGCTAGAGAGCATTTGGATGATCCAGAAGAGGATTGGGAGAATGTCATATGGTCAGATGAAACCAAAATAGAACTGTTTGGTAGAAACACAATGCTGAGTTGCATCCAAAGAACACCATACCTACTGTGAAGCATGGGGATGGCAACATCATGCTTTGGGGCTGTTTCTCTGCAAAGGGACCAGGACGACTGATCCATGTACAGGACAGAATGAATGGGGCCATGTATCGTGAGATTTTGAGTGCAAACCTCCTTCCATCAGTAAGGGCATTGAAGATGAAACGTGGCTGGGTCTTCCAACATGACAATGATCCCAAACATACCGCCCGGGCAACGAAGGAGTGGCTTCGTAAGAAGCATTTCAAGGTCCTGGAGTGGCCTAGCCAGTCTCCAAATCTCAACCCCATAGAAAACCTTTGGAGGGAGTTGAAAGTCCGTGTTGCCCAGCGACAGACCCAAAACATCACTGCTCTAGAGGAGATCTGCGTGGAGGATGGGCCAACATACCAGCAACAGTGTGTGCCAACCTTGTGAAGACTTACAGGAAACGTCTGACCTCTGTCATTGCCAACAAAGGATATATAACAAAGTATTGAGATGAACTTTTCATATTCACCAAATACTTATTTTCCACCATAATTTGCAAATAAATTCTTTCCAGATCAGCCAATGTGATTGTCTGGATTTATTTTCTCATTTTGTCTCTCATAGTTGAGGTCTACCTATGATGCCAATTACAGGCCTCTCTCATCTTTTTAAGTGGGAGAACTTGCACAATTGGTGGCTGACTAAATATTTTTTTGCCCCACTGTATGGAGAATTTTTAAATTCCTCTAATATTGTTGCCATGGAGGTGATTGGAATACCTGAATCCAATGATTTGGAGGGTGGGCCCAATACTTTTGGCAGTATAGTGTGTATATATATATATATATATATATATATATATAGGATTTCTAATTTCCTCTACTACTGTGGCCATGGAGGTGATTGGAACACCTGATCCAATGATTTTGAGGGGTGTCCCAGTACTTTTGGCTATATAGTGTATGAAGTGATGGTAGACATTAAATAAAAAATAAAACTCAAAAGCAAAGAACAGTAAATAAAATAAAATTAAAATGAAGAAAAAATAACAGGTAGAACTTTTTCAAGTTCATTTTGCCTAAACAAAAGTGAGCAAAAATAAAGGTTTCTGCTTTGGTGTAATTGGTTATTTTTTTGGCAAAACCTGTTTTGCCAAAATGTCTCTGTTGCTTCCTACCCAGGACAGGTTTACATCAACACATTATAAATGGTTATATTATAGAACGGATAACCTCTTTGTTCCTTTGTAGCACCATATGAGACAGGCATGTTGGCTATAATCATCACCTTCCCTCCCGGTTCGGTGTGTATATAATTACAGCTGATTATCGGAGGTTTATATAGAATACACAATCAACTGCTGTACAATAAGTAAGGCCAGACACACATTTGTCCTGCCGCCTCTAATTATCCAGGAACAGATGTCTCCGACTGAGGAGAACTGTGTACCAGCGATGACAATGGGGACAGGGCAGAAATAAAAACATAACAAAAACTTTACACCTTAAAAAAAAAAAAAAAAGCTTTAACCTCTTCCAGTCCGGACACTTTCACCCCCTTCCAGTCCGGACACTTTCACCCCCTTCCAGTCCGGACACTTTCCCCCCCTTCCAGTCCGGACACTTTCACCCCCTTCCTGTCCGGACACTTTCACCCCCTTCCAGTCCGGACACTTCCCCCCCCCTTCCAGTCCGGACACTTTCACCCCCTTCCTGTCCGGACACTTTCACCCCCTTCCTGCCCAGGACAATTTTCATCTTTCAGCACGATCACACTTTGAATGACAATTGCGCGGTCATGCAACACTGTACCCATATGAATTTTGTAGCATTTTTTTGAGATAGCTAAAGCTTTATTTTGGTGGTATTTATTCACCACTGGGATTTTTTTTTTTATGTAAATGAAAAAGTCCAAAAATTTAGAAAAAAAAAGTGTTTTTCTTATAAAATTTTGCAAATAAATATTTTATCATAAATCTTGGCCAAAATTTATTCCGTTTATCTTTTTAGTAAAAAAAATAAATAACCCAAATTAGTTTATAACCAAAAATTATAATTTTTAAACTTTTTTTTTATATTTTAATTTTATTTTTTTATTATTATTATTTATTTATTTATTTTTTAACATCCTCCTCACCCTAGCAATACACCCTAGCATGATGACACTGTACTACTTGTGGGAGGTGATGAAGATTTTTTTTTTTTTTACACTGATTGCTGTTACACCCATAAAGGCTGTAAAATCAACCATTTCTCCTTCTCTCTGGCTGCATTCTTGCAGCCATTGAGAACTACTGAGTAAGCTGTGATTGGTCAAAGCTTGTCCCATGGTGCAAGGCTGTTGTGAATAGCTCTGTACCATGTGACCTCTGTGATCATTCACAGATTTAACACGTAGAAAGCAATGATGTCAGAAGTGATATCTTGCTTACTACTCTGCATGTGATCACTGAATAGCCAATCAGTGATCACATGATCGGGACCTCGCACAGAGGTCCCGTACGACGATCGTCGGGTGTTTCATTGTGTCCGGAGGACACAGTGGGCACCGGATTGCAGTGCTGCGTGCTCCCAGGGAGCGCGCATAAGCAGGGGGCAGGGAGGCCGTTTATAAATGGCCACCTGCCCCTGCACTGCCACCGTCCGGCCGTTTATATACAACGGTCGGATGGGAGGTGGTTAAAGCATTGCTAAGAAAAAAACCTTCCCCCTGGGTGATCTATAGATTGCCGGGATTTTGCCAAACTTTTTGCAGATTCCTACCTTTTTTTATTCTGAAGAAACAGCTGTTTGTTTGTCTGTGTCCATGTGCGGAGTGAGTCTGTATGGGAGCGGTTTTATAATGATCAATCAGAGCTCTAATGAGGAAAATGGCAGGGTCTGCATCTCTTTAGACGTGAATTCCCATTGGGAGTCTCCCACCAATAATGAATTTTTTTTGTTGCAGGGAATGCCAAATATCTGACATGGATCCTAGTGTAGGCTTCTGGGAAAATCAGTGAGCCAATCACACAAGTAGGAAGTTCAGAGTTTCACTCCTCCTAATCCAAGCAACAGTCATTCAAGGTTCTATGCCAACCAGGGGCGAATTGACAACTCATGGGACCTCCGGTCAATAGGGGATCATGGGGTCCCTGTGTCCTTGCCCAAACTCAAAAAAGCCTATTAAAAAGGTACCCGGGGCATCTCATTGGGCCCCCTACTGACCCCGGGCCCCATGAGAATTTTTTTCCCAGCAGGAGCAAATTGGATTGTGCTTTGCTGGGGTTTTTTTTTTTTTTTGCCTTCCTCTGGATCAACTGTGGGTGTAGGATTATAACCTTTTTTTTTTTCTATGGTTGAACTGGTTGGACTTTTGTCTTTTTTCAGCCAGACTAACTATGTAACTGATACATTTTGCTGGAGAGCATGAGCTTCTGAAAAACCGCAGACTTGCTGGCTGAACTGTAAGATGAAAAAAAGAAGACAGTCTAAAAAAAGAAAACTAATGTGGCCATCACATCTAATGATTGGTAAGCTGCAATCTAATAAATGTTTGCTTTTGGGTTTAATACCGTTTTAAATTCCCGTTTTTATTTGATCAGCCGATTTGTAAAATAAAGATTGTATCGTTGTAATGAAAGATCGGCTTATGAAGTTATAAATATGACTTGAGACTCCCCTTTAGGCTCGGTTCACGCCTATGCAGGTTGGGCTGGAGCCGTTTCTGCATTGCGTTTTTGATGCGTTTTTGCGTTTTGTTTCCATTTTTTTTTCTTGTTGCTAGGCAGATTTAAAACACAGCAACAATGCAGCAAATACATGCTTTTCTGCAGCGTTTCCATTGAAGGCTATAGAACCAAAAATGCAGCTTTTTGCGTAAAAAAAAAAAGTGCCTGACCCTTCCCAAAAAAACACACCGGGTGAAAACGCAAATATGTGAACCTGTCCCATTGGTAATCGTGTAAAATGGACTGTAGTGCGTTTCTGAAAAACCGATGTGAACCTAGGGTTAAATGCGACAATCACATTTCTACATGAATCATGTTTCCCATGTATGCGGTCATTGAGGGTAAGTCCACAGTCAGCAGGCACATGTCTGTGGGAACCCGTAGATATCTCGTACAATCTTTTATTTTCTTCAGAATGAGGAACTTGTCTTTTCTTCTTATTAATTGGATTCTATTGTGTAATGGTGTCATTTACCACCAGGAAGGAAATCAGAGGAGTCATTGATATCAGACAATGGGCAGTAGATTGCGCCACCTTCTGTTCATGTGTGGAAATGCACCTACGGTTCATCTTTGGCTTCTTGTAAGAGATGGTCCTCGTCACCCCAAATCTAAAAAATAAAGGGGTTTCGTTGGCATTTAATAAAGTGGGCGGTGACATACAAACGACTCCCTTTCTTTAAATGTATATTACTGTGGGGGCTGTGTGTGTGTTTCACTGTAAGCATGCTGCTTTGTGTTGGTCTGCTATGCAGAGCTATACAAAGCAGTGTGCAGGAGCTGACAGCGGGAAAGATCTGCGTTGTAATTAAAGAGTATATATATATTTAAAAACTTTGCAGGTTTCTCTTCTTCAGCTGCTGGACTGAAAGAAAAAAATGTCCCCTAATCTCCTTAATGACCGAAGTCTTACTGTCAGCTTGGCAAAACTGCTGCCTTTACAGCGACGTCCATTTCAGATGGTGGAGCTAGTCATCCCCAGCAACTCGTGGCCTGTATTGTACCATGGTGACAGGTACCCAGCCACAGGGGCGGACTGACAACTCATGGGGCCCCCGAGCAATAGGGGATCATGGGGCCCCTGTGTCCTTGCCCAAACTAAAAAAAAAGCCTATGAAAAAGGTACCAGGGGCATCTCATGGGGCCCCCTACTGACCCCGGGCCCTCGAGCAGTGCCCGAGTTTTCAAATGGTCAGTCCGCCCCTGCCCAGCCACCATTTGCCCAGAAGGCCATTTCTGCTTTCTGCCACCATGTGCAATGCTAATGTCTCTGTTTTGCTGGACCACAAGGTAAGTGGTTGGGGCCACATGACCACAGAAACGTGGTCCAGCAAGCATAGACAGGAACGGTACATCTGTTTGTGGCATATCTAATGTTGGTTGAGAAGGATGCAGGACAGGACATCTGGTATGCCTGGAGGACAGGAGCTACACTGGGTCAGAGACTCTGAAGGCTCTTCAGGAACATGCAGGATTGAAGGTGGCTGGTTGCAAGCCAGTTTGTGCCAGGTCAGGTCATGTATGACAAAGGCACAAAACCAGCTAGCTACCCTTCAGCTGGGAAAGTTCACAAACACGTACTTTCCCTTATATATGTCCTGGACAAGGAGGGGCAGCAGTTCCTGGTTGGGTGTTCTAGCTTTCAGAATGTCCTTCACCAGGCCAGAAACGTATGCAGCCATTTTAGGAGGTCATGCTTACCCAGTATTTGTGACTGAAATGCAGCATTATTACTACCAAAGGTACCTGCTAACCTCCTCACATAACCCCTCCATGCCTGAGGGTAAAACAAATCTAAATGCCTAAGCACAATGATGGGGCACTATTCCTCCCCCTGACACCAATGATAGGGCACTATTCCTCCCACTGACACCAATGATGAAGCACTATTCCTCCCACTGATACCAATGATGGGACACTATTCCTCCCACTGACACCAATGATGGGACACTATTCCTCCCACTGACACCAATGATGGGGCACTATTCCTCCCACTGACACCAATGATGGGGCACTATTCCTCCCACTGATACCAATGATGGGACACTATTCATCCCACTGACACCAATGATGGGGCACTATTCCTCTCACTGATACCAATGATGGGGCACTATTCCTCCCACTGATACCAATGATGGGGCACTATTCCTTCCACTGATACCAATGATGGGGCACTATTCCTCCCACTGACACCAATGATGAGGCACTATTCCTCCCACTGACACCAATGATGGGGTACTATTCCTTCCACTGATATCAATGATGGGGCACTATTCCTCCCACTGACACCAATGATGGGGCACTATTCCTTCCACTGATATCAATGATGGGGCACTATTCCTCCCACTGACACCAACGATGGGGCACTATTCCTCCCACTGATACCAATGATGGGGCACTATTCCTCCCACTAACACCAACGATGGGGCACTATTCCTCCCACTGATAGCAATGATGGGGCACTATTCCTCCCACTGACACCAATGATGGGGCACTATTCCTCCCACTGATACCAATGATGGGGCACTATTCCTCTCACTGATACCAATGATGGGGCACTATTCCTCCCACTGATACCAATGATGGGACACTATTCCTCCCACTGACACCAATGATGGGACACTATTCCTCCCACTGACACCAATGATGGGGCACTATTCCTCCCACTGACACCAATGATGGGGCACTATTCCTCCCACTGATACCAATGATGGGACACTATTCATCCCACTGACACCAATGATGGGGCACTATTCCTCTCACTGATACCAATGATGGGGCACTATTCCTCCCACTGATACCAATGATGGGGCACTATTCCTTCCACTGATACCAATGATGGGGCACTATTCCTCCCACTGACACCAATGATGAGGCACTATTCCTCCCACTGACACCAATGATGGGGTACTATTCCTTCCACTGATATCAATGATGGGGCACTATTCCTCCCACTGACACCAATGATGGGGCACTATTCCTTCCACTGATATCAATGATGGGGCACTATTCCTCCCACTGACACCAACGATGGGGCACTATTCCTCCCACTGATACCAATGATGGGGCAC